TGTTCAAAATGGAAGATAGGCCTTGTCACTGATATTAATTCTGGCAAATGTTTTGCCTCTGACAGAGGGTGGCCGTAGCAGTTTTCTCCATTTGTTGACTGAAAAGATATAGTTTTGTCGCCCAGCTACTGAGTTGAGTGCATGGCTGGACACTGTGCGCTGTGGATTTTAATTTTTATGTTTTTCGACTGTGACCAACGTAATTTTATGATTTAAAAGATTCAGAAAACGGCGCGTGGGCTGTTACCTCAGAAGTGGTGGTGCCTTATGCGATTAAAATTGATCGTGTGTGCTACTGCTGATTTGTTTGAACCTACATTTCTAATATCGGACAGTTTGTGTTAGCACTTTCAATGGCTGCCCAATGTTTGTAATACGTATGTGTGCTTGTGGCCAAGCTGAGACTGCAGTATGTGTCAATTTTACCACAGGAGATAGCACATACTGTGCGTGTTTTTCGCTTACCTGAGAGCGGAGCAACTATTGAGTGACTCTTTTGCCATGAAGCTGAAGTTAAGATTATCTTCTTTTTTTTTTTTAAATGAATAACAAACAAAGCGAAATCAACAGCAAATGAGTTACACATAAACGCACACACACACACACACACACACACAAACACACACACACACACACACCTCGAATGTTAGTCAGAAAGTAAGTTACAACTAGTTGTTTAAAGAAAGAAAAAACTAAAGACGATAACAACTTGAAAACCGTTTATTTTTACACATACACTGTCCCTTTATTTTTCAACATAATTTCCTCCAACATTGATGCGCTTGTCCCATCGTCTTATTAGTCCTCTCAAAACTGCTACATAAAACAGCGTGCTCTGTTTTCTAAACCATATTTTTACTTCACATTCACCTACTGCAACATTCGTGAAATCTCTGCCGCCAAGGTGGGTTTTAGTAGACCAAAAACCAACTGAGCCGCCTATTATAGCTGCTCCCGAGTCAACCGTTACTCGTCTGTCACCTCTAACCATCTCCTCCATCCCCTGCAATCTCAACAACACGACGAGATTAGACTTCATCAACAATCATACAGCGTTGTTGAGAAAGATTGTTCACCAAGCTATACACCGCTTTACGGGATAAACGTTTGTCAGCATGAATAGGAAGCATTTCCTCATAAATGTCCTTTACTGGCATGCAACACCTAGCGTCAATTGAACAACTGAGACATAAGTTCGATGTTGCTGTCCCCTAACAATACCTTTAGAAACCACCAGTTACATTTTCCAGCCACTTATAACCATTTGTGACTTTCTTATCTACTTCCACTCGCATGTAAGTCCGTAGGTGACTTCTTAATGTCTAAACAGGCCCAGGAAGATCTGGGCCAGTGAGGGCAGGAAACAGCGTCTGGAGATAAAGGGCCTGGTATACGGGTCTTTCTAGGCTGTCTTCGCTGTTCAGCTGCCCCTTTTCTAGATGCCTCGTACCTTGCTGCACCTCTTTGGAAAGACTTTCGGCGTATAGTCTGGCCTTGTGCAGCAGCCTCTAGAATAATTTAAAGGGCGAAGCTAAGCTCCCTAAAAAGTGTATTAGGAGACTAAGTGTTTCTTTTGCGGATAGGGTGTATAGAAGTTCTCTTTTTAAGTATATTATAGATGAATTATTTAGTTTATTTACTGTAGCTTTTTATCATCATTCATCGATAACATCGACATAATTCATCATCATCATTATTACACGCTTAGCCCCCTTCAGCCCGCCACCCTAGAACATGTGCAAGGGCTTCCTCCCGACACCCTTCCCGCTGTTATTATTGTTACCAGGTGAGAGTAGCCGGTGTGTGTGTGTGTGTGTTTTTTTTTTTTTTTTTAATATACCATCGGTGAGTTAGGATCTGCTTATCCATGCAAGCAGAGACTACTGTCGTCAGAATGCGCGGAGAAAACCACATCGCTTCAACGGACAAGACTGCGACACTAGCAAAGCGCTGTGGAGCACAAAGAGCATGGCGAGGCACGTAGAACGCCTTGGTCATCCACTGCACCTAGACATATCTCCAGTCGTCCTGACTCTGTCTTGCCACTGGACCCAGATATGACTCAAGCGAGACAGTGAGGTCGACGACACTGCACAACTCTTTCTTACTTTAATCCAAGTCACCGCGCAAGTCACTCTTTCATCATCATACCCTGCAGACTGACCTTAAAGTAAACAGAGCAGTTGTATTAACTACACTGCTGTATGCATGTGCAACATGGACTGTGTACCAGCGCCTAGGCCAGAAAGTTAAACAACTTTCACACAGTCTGCCTTAGAAAACTAATGCAGATCAGATGGCAAAACAAAGTATCCAATACCGTAGTCCTTGATAAAGCAGACATGCACAGCATCCACACTTTACTGATGTAATACCAAATCACAGACTCCCAAAAAGACTTTTATGGTGAACTGCAAAATGGAAAACGTCCCCAATGCGGGCAAAAGAAACGCTTTAAGGACACCTTGAAGTCTTCCCTCAAAGCATTTGGAATGAACGACACCAACTCGGAGGCTACCTTTCAAGACCGAAATGCATGGCGTGCAACTCTACACAAGGGTGCGGCTACATGTGAAGCAAACACGACACTCTGTTGGGAGGACTTTGTGGCCAAGAAGATATAAGACACTTGCCTCACGCTCTGAATGTTTTGGGCCTTCGTCATTTTCTGCGTAGATCACGGCGCGCTACTAACTCCCCCATGAGAGAGACTGAATCATACCCAATACTAAAAAAAAAACGCAATTATATCTGTACAACGAAGTCATCATCTTGCATATGACCAGAAAGTAAAAGAAAACTAGGATTGCATAGCAAGGTAATTTCTTGAATGTTGAGAATACTTATAAGTGCTAATCAGAATAACAAAAAATTATATGTGAATTGAATTAACCAGTAATTAAATAAGAATTATCTAAACGAATAATCGTATGTGAATTAAACTAACCGATACTTTGCTTTTGGAAATGTTACAGTTGTTTCTTTAACACCATATCTTAAGAGCTGCAGTTCATTATTTTAATGGTTCGTTCGTTGCTCGGGTGTTTGTGCTATATATTTATGTTGCATAAACATAATATTTGATCATTTACATTTCTTTAATTTCCTGAAAAGTAAAGGCAGCCGGCGTGGCATTGACTACATCACACACTGAGTCGGCTAAATTGCTGCAATCATCTGTTATTACATGCGCCAAGTCAGAGAAATTCGTTAATTTTCCTAGCGGTTTTCCTGTTCTGCTTTAAACGTACTAATATCTAAACCATATTCTTCACAGAGCCATTAAAGTGCTGGTTAGTTGCGTATCCTTTACAGGACGTTGCAGAACCAACCATAACAGCGCCTGGCAGTTGTGTGGTTTCTCTAGGCAAATTTACGTTCAGTAGTTTGATTAAAATGCTACAGGATGTGAGCCTTGGTAGAGAATGGTTAGACGCTTGCGGTCTGTGTGATTGTATCCCAATTCGATCTCAGTTTTGGCGAACACTGTAGTAAATTAAAGCACCTTTTTTTCCTGCCCTAGGCGAACAGTGTTTATAGTTCTGTACTTATAGTTTATAGACCAGTAGGAGCTTAGAAATTGAGAAAGGCGACAGAAAAAATGAGAGCTTACAGCTTTGTTACAGGACAAGAGAAGGTATCAGCACACGACCTAAAACATTCAAGAGACAATATAAGAAGTAATATAGTCATCTACGCCATTCGCCAGGGCACTAGATTATAATGCTCATTATTAATCTTCGTATTTCTTCTTTTTCCTTTACCATTTACACCAGTTACAATTGTTACTTACTGTTCTCTGACATATACGCGACGATTAGATAATACTAGTCGGAGCAGCGCCAAGTGAAAACCATGCAAGAGTTCACATCCTTTGTCATCCGCGACCGGGTCGCCTATCGGTTCGCCGGTAGACGATTTCTGAGCAATATTTAGGTTTATCTCTGATCGCATCATCCTCACTGCAGGAGTCCTTTTACCGTGCTCTTTTTGGCGTGCAATGCTAAGTTATTTATGTGGCGCACATAACCTAGTCACAGTTATAACCTAAAGCTTCCCTTTCCAGAATGCTACTTGAACGTGATGATTTTTTTTCTCCAGAAAAGCACCTATCTTCCTCCTGACTACTCATCTACCTACCGACCTACCACAGGCTTTGTCTCAATAAAATCAGAACATGAGTCGTTAGCGTAACCAAACTGAGAAACATGCTTTAGAAGAATTAATGAATAATATAAAACTGTTATAATTGTTGCTACCTCTTGTTACACACCCTGTATTTTACTATTGTATCTCTTTCCGCAGAATTCAGAAAGCAACATCTCATTTGCTCGACTTAGTGCCAATGAAGAAGAAGATGACGCCTTCAAGGCTCCCGAAAACGCCAGATATGACAACCCAATATTTAATGACCCGGATGTTATGTAGAATTGTAAATTTTTTTTTTATTCGCATTAGTTATTTTCATTTCCCGCCCTTACCATTCGAAGACAATGATTGCATGTGGTTCTTTGTATCCTCTTCATATGTTCATTTTTTTTTTCATTTATCCACTTCTCTTTGGAAACATGTTTATTATTCTTAGTCAGTATAACTAATGTTGTTATTATAATAGATGAGAATGGATGTTGAGTGGGTCAAGAAACTTAATCAGAGATTATGATCATTGAAAGTAACAAAGACGCTATCATCGGTGGTGGACTGAATCAAGAAATAGCTGGTCACGGTCCCAAACATTGCTACTTTTGGAGAACTGTTTTTCACGAACGGCGTACTTAAAGTTATTCTTTTTGTAAATTAATCTATTGAGTTCAATGAAACTTCACGAAGCTCGAGCGGGTTTCAGACAGGGTTGAGGAATTAGGAATCACATCATTAATATAATTCTTTTTTTTTATATGTGCAGTGTACAACTTAGATCTTATTATTGTTTGATTGTAGCAAAGCCTTAAATTGATTTGAACCTCGGAAATTGGGTAATATCATGATAATTATGAGGTTTCCAGCCCGTTTTGTACATTTAAATGAAGGTTCGTATCATCAACAACAAGCAGCCATCAGAGCAGCTGGAGAAACATCGGATCGGTTGAAGATGTGGGAGTGAATGAGTCATGGATACATCCACTCACAGTACATATTCAATATATATGCAGAGAACATAATGAGCAATGTCAGAATGACCAGACTTGTAATAATTATAATTCGCTAATAACTGATAGCAACTTTATTCAAGAACTTCGCTATGCAGACGAGACAGTCCGCCTTTCAAACAATTTAAAGGGAATATAACATTTAATCATGTCAGTCAAAAAACACAGTGAAGATAAAAATCTATTCTTGAATTTAAAGAAAACAAAAATCATGTCCACAGACAATACTGCTCATCACCCAAAACTAACAATTGATAACGAAACTGAAAATGCACTGACTTTAAATACCTTGGCTCCATAATATACAGCAATGTAGACTGGTAAAAACAATTAAAAGGTGAATGGTCATAGCAATACAAAGATTAAACAACGTTAAACATCGATGATTAGGCAACAGCAAGAAATTCAAGTCAAGGTTTGAGAGCATGTACCTTCCCTATAGCATCATACAGGTGTGATTTGTAGACTATTTCGTAGTCCTTACAGAAGAAAATTGAGACTTTTGGGCTAAATGCTATGGACAGATTCTCAGAATATCATGGACATAGAAAAAAAAAAATACTGATGTTCTAAAAGATCTGAACATCAATGGAAGATTAGCTAATTAAATTTGATATTGTCTCAGAAGCTGGAATATTTTGGCCATATCAAGCACCACTGCAAACTGGAACAATTAATTTCAGAAGACACGGTATCAGAAAGGAGGGACGGAAGCAGACCAGCACGGAAATAGGCACAGAATGTGACTTCTTGAGTATAAAAGTGAACGAGGCGGGAGGAGAACTGGCAAGAAATCGAAGTGTCTTTCAGGCAGACCGTGATGACAGCGACGTTCTGCAAAAGACCTACTACATGATGATGCTGATGAATATGTTCAGCAAAGTATCAGGAAGGGGCCCTGTTGTACTAAAATCAAGGAAAGGTTGTAGTAGTGTAGTGGTTAGACGCTCTCCTCCAATCTGGGGGTCTTGGTTTTGAATCCGGACAGGGTAGATTAAAAAAAAAAATAGGTCTTGGCTTTCAGTATTGAAATAGCCTTTTATGTGTATCTGGTCATATCCTAGGAAAAAACTGATGACCGGTGAGATATTGACCACACTATATTGTTGGCCATTCTCCGTCTTCTTTTCAATTCCTGCTTAATTGCTACCATCATCTGTTGTTATTACATGCGCCAAGTCAGAGAAGTTCGTTAATTTTCCTAGCGGTTTTTCTTTTTTTTTTTTTTTTGTACTAATAACTAAACCACATTTTGCATAAAGCTTCTAAATTGCTACGTGTTGTTATTTTGACTTCTGTTGATTACAAGTGAGAACCTTGGTAGAGGGTGGTAAGAAGGTTGCGGCCTGTGTGGTGCTGATCATATCACAATTCGAGTTGATGATACAGCGATATATTTACTTTGTTTCCAATAATAAAGCCGTGGTGTCCACCTAGTGTTAACTGGTATATACACAAATGAGTCCAGGGTCAAATGCCTAATGCTTCACTTGGCATAAGAAATAGTCCTCTAGTTTATTATTTGTATGTTCTCTGGGGAGTCGGCTCTGTAGCTAAGTCGATGAGAACGCTTCGTAATGCCAGGGTGCCGGTTTCGATCCCAGCTGCTGGCAATGCGCTTTGCGTTGGTTTCGATAGTGGTATCAGGGGGCTGACCGTCCAGAAAGGCAATGGCAAACTATTGGACGTAAATTGCCTAGAGAAACCACACAACAGCCACTGGGCTGCTGGGGTTTGCGCTTCAACGTCTTGTAAAGGATACGCAACTAACCTGTACTCTGGGGAGTGCACGTTTGAATGTTGTTGTCACAATAATAGTTGCAAAAAAAACAGTCGGGCGGTAAGTTATGTTTTTTTTTTTTTTTTTGTTAACATATACTCTCTCCTTTCCCTTCTTAGCTTTTACCGGTTGTAAACTCCGGCGGTAAGTTATGATTGTTCGTCCACTTCTGGACTTTCATCTTGTCCCAGAACATGAGATGAGCGTGCACATCTATGTTACAGATCAGGCTTACTAGTATAGTTCCATCCCTCACGTGCGCGTCTGATCTCACTACCCAGAGACCAAGGGAAATTACTAGAAGTCCAAGTCCACGTGAAAAAATCCTAGCTCTTACCGGGGATTGAACCCGGAACCTCTAGCACTCGAGGCGGACACCATGCCTTAAGACCATGCAGCTCCATAATCCTGGAGAAGATAAACAACAGCTGTGTGGAAGCTATCACAGGGGCATTCTTGCCTAACCGTATTCATTTTAGTAAATAAGGGACCATTTTCTTCACCTCCAGACGCATTAGGCATTTAAGGCCAGACCTATATTTTATAGACCAAACGGCATTTGGTGAATCACGTGGTCAGCATCACACCGGTCGCCTTTACTTCCCAGCACTGCACCTGGCACCCACTCCAGGCTGGGTCGACCTGGGAGCCAAGGTCATTTTTGAAAAAAGTCTAGCCCCATTCATAATAGTAGCAGTTTTAATATTTGTATAAATACATCTTGAATGTTGAATTGAGACAAAGGATAGGAATCAGCACTCGGGACACCCCATAAGCTGTCCGTCCCTATCTTCAACAGCAAACGACGTGTTCTAATACCGATGGCACCAGTAATTGTCAGTTTGTATATCCGTCTTGCCCTTCCCTTGAGTGTTGAGCTGTGTAAACAAATTAGGCGGGTCAGTTGTATCTCATGTGCATCTGTTGTTAAAAAACACATTTACATCATGTAAATGTTATTTTGAAAATCATTGCATTATTGTGTATGTATTATCATGGTATCTACCCTGTTGAATGTATGTTACGTTATTTGACAGTCATTTATTGGGCAGAACCTTAAATATTTGCCTATAAATCTGCTGTATAACCACAATTTTCTTTAATACTGCATTAATAACGTTCATGACTAAATAACTTTTTTTTAAATTAATTATATGTAATTTCAAGGATTATACTCCCTTGTTTTACAATGTCTTTGTCATATATAAATATATAGAATATCCCATTGTTCGCATGCATTTCTCCTGATACTGGCACTTTTGTTTCCGTTGTAAATTTAAGTGCATGATAAGTGCCTTTAAGTAATGATGATGATATTAAAGTATGCCGGTTGCTATCCTTACTACAAGTGCCGTTTGTCTTTTTTTTTTTAAATAATAACATTGCACATAAAATACAAGTTTACTTCGACGCCTTTCGACAGTGAAGCAGACTTTGAGGCGTTTAATTAGGCATGCATCATAGTACACTCACTCATGTAGGGATGTGTCTTCTTTTTTCTTTTTTTCTTCTTCTTCTTCTTCTTTTTCCTTTTCTTCTTCTTCTTTTTCTTCTTTTTTTTATTCTTCTTCTCCTTCTCCTTCTCTTTCTTCTCCTCCTCTTCTTCTGCTCTTTCTTCTTCTTCTTCTTCTTCTTCTTCTTCTTCTTCTTCTTCTTCTTCTTCTTCTTCTTCTTCTTCTTCTTCTTCTTCTTCTTCTTCTTCTTCTTCTTCTTCTTCTTCTTCTTCTTCTTCTTCTTCTTCTTCTTCTTCTTCCTCTTCTTCTTCTTCTTCTTTTTCTGCCTCTGCTTCTTTCGTCATTTTCTTTACGTTCACCAGTGTAAACTCCAGCAGAAAGTTCTGGTTGTTCACTCATCTTTGGGCTTAACTCACAGAAACTGAGTGTTGGGTACAATTTGGCTTATTTGCATGCAGACTGTTATTTCCTTGCCTCTTAAGCAGCTGCACTCCGACTTCGAAATAAGCTCCCAGTTAGTCGACTCTTGCAATGTGCATGCTTAGGAGACAGTAGGTTTATCGTCTCTCTCTCTCTCCCCCCCCCCCCCCCCCCCCCTCCCATTCCCCCCCCCTCCCCTTCCACAGAGTTGCCATGGAACTCACACGGGGAATGCGATGATATTGATAATGCTGATGTTTCTGCTGGTGATATGATACACTTCGTTAGTTATGTTATCATAATCAATTTGTCACCGCACATTAGGCAATCCCGTGTATGCTTCGATGCAGCAGCGACTCCAGCGTGCATTTACTGATTGTTCCAATGAGGAATGAGTTAAAATGTATCCTATCTCGTTTTCGAAGGCGGCACAGACGTGGTTGGCCATGCTTTACTGCCAGGTCACGCAGAGATTTGTCATCATCCCTCGCCCAGCCCGTGTAGCACTGATGATATCTGCTCTACCCATACTTCTTCTCGTATGCGTTGGTGCATTGTTTGCTGCTTGGGCCGCTTGCTCAGTACCCTTTAGGTCGGCATGACCACGTCTTTAGATCCAGGTGA